ACTCTCAGTAATGCCATAGTGATCGTTTGATATATGGACCTGCAGCGGAGTTTAGGCCCAGACACGGCTAGTGACGTCAGACTTAACGACCGGATAATAGCTGAATCGAACTTCTGCAGTGAGTCTGTGCATTAACCTATCTATAACTGCCACCAAGGTGCCATCACTGCTAGCATTCATGCTTGCATTTTACATGTTAATGATCACGACTGACATGACCATGACCGATAGAAACAAATAAAAATGTTGGGCTCAGCTTTGTTGATGACTTTTAAACAATAAATAAATAAAAAATCCACTTCTTTGTGCATCTTTTCCAGGAATTTTCTTACATCTCTTAGATGTAAGAAAATCATGGGACATGGCCTGGAGACATGACCTTAGAAATAGTCCTCATTTTGTCTAAATGATTCAAAAAATGTGGCGAAAATGTAGCTGGAAATGCAAGGGAGGAATCGATGGTACTGAAAAGAGCAATTGCAATGTCCACATGACATGTAGATACCTTTGTAGGCAGGTGCACGTCAGATTATGGTGCAGGTCACATTGTAGGGGATTTGGGGTATAATCTAGATTTAACACCAAAATATAAAGCTCCAGTAAGAGAGCTGCGCATAAACCAATGCACCCAGACTTCAATAAACTGAAGCGACGCTGTAAAGAGAAGCTGGCCAAAATTGCTCCACAACAATGCGAGAGACCGATAAGCTCTTACAGAAAACGATTACTCAAGTCATCGTTGCTAAAAGTGGTTCTACAAGCTACCGAATCACAGGATATTTTTCACTTGACCGCACTGAGTCCTGTGAAATCTTTATTTTTCTCTGTGTGCGACGTAGCGTTTGTCTCTGGACTCTGTAACCACCTCTGTGTTTACAGTTTGTGTAATGCCTGGGTGGTTCACGAGAATAGAACGTGCTGAAAGTTTTGACTCTACTGGCACCATTGTTGTTGTTTTCTTTTCTCTCTTTTTTTTTTTTAACTCACCCTTGCTCGAATTTCCAGGAACCACTAGTGATGTCATTTTCCACGGAAATTATATTTAAACCATAAGAAGACATTTGTGGTTGGTGATACAGCTTTAAATTATTATACAATAAGTTAGTAATAATATATAATAATTTAAAGCCTTCTAATAGGGTCACTTACATGGAGACTGAATTGCTAACACCACAGTGAGTAATTTGAGATTTTGCGTTTGTGTTCAGGATACGTGTCCCTACTCTACTCACACCTAATATTGAGTTGATCGTGTGGTCGTGAAGCCAAGAACAGCAAACCATCAAAGTATCAAGCAGTTACACGTTATAAAAGCTAACTCCAGAGCTTGTAGAGGGTTTCTTTTAATATATATGTCTAGGCCTGAGGGAGAAATTAGGGTTGTTTGTAGGAGATGTTTCTGGAAATCATTTGGGTTGGAGACATGACTCATTTCCCATTTTTGAAATCCTGTCACTCCCATAACATTGCAGTTATTGATCAAGAGCCATATGCAGAGGGGGTCTTGTCAGGTTTGGCACTAAAATGATCTGACCACACATGGAAAGCAAGCTAAACAACAGCTCCATGCAAAACCTTCTTGTTTCTGCACATTACTGTGGACTTTTTGTGTTTGCTTATGATTTAGTGCGTGTGTGTGTGTTTTATTAGCTGTGTCTTTGCTCGTTTGACATCAGCGTGTCTCCGATGCAAGACTGAAAGCCACTGCGCACGCCTGGGGCGGACAACAAAGGTTTCCATTCCAGGTGTCTACATCCAAGCGAAGCGATGAGACGCGAGGATTTATGCATCAAAGTACTTTTTAAAAATCAAAATGTTTGTTAGATGAAGCACTCAGCCTAGTTGCCCACAGTGGCAGGACTGCAGTAATCGGTGTTCCACAGCCCTGCGTAACAATGTGTTTCTATATTGTTGTGCTGTCATAAATCATTTTCATTATTTTGTTTAAAAATTGTCAAAACATACTATTAAATACCAGTAAAAAGTTATCACGCCTGAAATAATGTGTTTAAAGTGCTGTCTTTGGTTTCTCTGTTGTCCATAAAAGGAAAGGAAATAATGTGGAAACAGAAAAGAAGCCCCTCTTTCTGCCCTGCCCTCTTCTGATTTGGGGTTGCCATGACCTTTCGTGGTGTGTTTGGTTTGGTTTCAAACCCCTTTGGGAGTCATCTGCTCAGCATGGAGGCCACACTCCAAACACTGATCAGATTGCCTAATCTGTTTTTAACCACGATATAGCGGATACAAAGGGCCGCTCTGTTCGCTCCTCTTTCTCTCTAAACTGGCGCCAAACCTGAACATGCCAAAACATGCCCACGGAGCGCAGCGCTTAGAGTACACAGGAACTGTTTGCACACATGCGCTGCAGGCGCGAACACTTAGAGACATCATGCAGTGCATTATGACACTGATGTCTGATTTAGTCGGGTTGGGATTGAAACGGTCTTTAACCTGCCAGGTCATTTTCTCACAGCAACACAATATCTGTTATGTGTCGGTTCCAATTTAACTTCCTGGAAACCTGCACGATGCAGGGAACGATTGTGATTGGTATTTGAAGGCACTTGATTCGGGAGCACTTCCTGTTGCACTATTATAATGCTCATTTAATAGTGGGAAGCTGAACTCGTGATTAAAATGCATGGTGGGGGCGCTATCATGGTTTGCGGCTGCATTTCAGCCAGTGGTATTTGGGGTCGTGTCGAAACTCTTGAAATTAAGAATGCTGAAAAGCACCATCAGATTCTGATCCACCATCTAGAAAATGTTTGATTGGTAACAGCTTCATTTTTCAGCATGATAATGATCCTAAACATACTCACAATGTGATAAAAACATACCTTAATAGAAAAACACAATCAGTCATAAACAGGCCTCCCCAGAGCCCAGACCTCAACATTGTTGAAGCAGCGTGGGACCATCTTAACAAAAAGCAGCCAGCATCTAAAGAAAAGCTTTGAATGTCCTTCAAGAAGTCTAAAGAACTATTCGTGAAGACTGCTTAAAGATATTACAAGAAACCACACCTAAGAGAGTTCAGACTTGACTTTTAAGCTTGTCAGAATTGTACGCTGTGTTTATGCCTTATATAATGCAATTCCATGTATGTTTGCACACCCAAATCCTTTTGCACAGTACTTGAGAGTTATAGAAGATGGAGACAGAAACAGAAAGAAAGAGATCAGTTGAATTTTAGCTTGAATGTGTGGACTCCATCAGCTGTAGCAGCTGGCTGGTAACCCATACCGACCTCTGCATGACTTATTAGACGGACAAGCTTTCTCTAACATCTCTTACCTGCTGACAGCATAGGTCACGAACTTGGTGCTTTTTTTTTTTTTTACCTGATTGAAGCATTGATTCTGCTTTACCAGCTTGTGAGGACATCAGAGTGACCGACCTGTTAGGTTTATTGCAAAGTATAATAAGTATAATATCTTGTTAATTAATAATTAATAATAATTAATTAATTAATTAATTATTTTCATTCTTTCCTTTACGTTTGTTGTGTGTTTGTGTGCTATCTATAGTCGTAAACCAGGAGGGACAGCCTTTGATCGAGGGGAAGCTGAAAGAGAAGCAAGTTCGCTGGAAGTTCATTAAGCGCTGGAAAACCCGCTACTTCACCTTGGCGGGAAATCAGCTCCTTTTCCGGAGAGGCAAATCGGTAGGTAGACACTGAAAATGAACCCTAACACATAAACATACACCTACGCATGGTCCCGTCCTCTCGCTTATAAAGCTCTCAGTGATCTTACTATGTCTCGTGTGATTTAAATCATGATGAATTTGTACGAAACAGTGGAAATGGCACCTCAGCAGGAGCATCTGATGAATCCAGCTATAACAAATCTTGGCCCTGCTAAGGACTCTTGGGGGAGGGGCGGGACTCGCAAAGCCAAAGTGCGATGTTACAAAAACATGACTTACTTGCAGAAATGGTTATGCACAAGTAGCTCAAGGAGAAAGAGCCTTGAACGTGGAATACTGACTCTCATCTGAGTAAATATGATCTCTCCCTCCTTGCTTTATCAAACACAGTTTATGGCAGTCATCTGCACGGGAGAAACTGTTATAGAGATCGAGTGTCATCTGGACTTTAGCCAGTGTCATGTCTAAAATAGCAGCTCTCCAAATTAGAGGACGGCATAGAGGAGTTTATGGAAACAGGGGAATATTCATCTCTCTCCCGCTTCTTTTTGTTTTTTTCCTAACTTTAAACAAAAGTCTTTGTGCTCGGATCCAGATGGTAATGGAGTCTGCTGTTTTGCAGCCACCGCAGATTGCGAAGGTTTTGTGTCTTTGTTCTCAGAGCCCTGTCTGTCTCTGCCAGCAGGTTCTGGAGGTGGTTGGCATGTTGTGAAAGACGTTTTTTCCTGACGAGAACCAAAAAATATTTCCTTCGTACTGAACGATCAGGCAGCTTTGACTGTCAGACATGCATCGTACTCTGGTGCACAAGTAAAAGGAACGAGAATTTTTACATATAGGTTATGTGTGAGTCTGTGGCTCCACAGTGTAGTGGTTGACACATGAAAAAACCCTATTTTGAAACTGGGGTAAAGGCATAAATTGCATCAGGAAATCTGTGGCAACGAAAAGGAAGTAGCCGGAAGGAAGAAACTGGTTATAGTGGATTTGAAGTCACATCCTAAAATGCATTCATGGCCCAACAGCTGGGATGTGTGGAGGTTAAGCACATAGGTTCATGTATCTCACACCTTATCCAGTTTACCTTTTGCCGTCTTTTCTGCAGCCAAAATTCATCAGTCGTGTTTTATATGAAGTCCACATCCACCTTTTAGAACAGAACCTCCAGTTCCTCGTGTGTCACCTGGTACTCTGATCATCCACTGATCCCGAGACTCTCTGTAAGCCAGACTGATCATGTGAAAGCTGACGTTGTTGCACAAATTAACATGTCTATACTTCCCAAAACAGCTGCGAGATGAAAATGTAGGTAAAAATTAGGTACAGCCTCAGTTTTGCAACAACGACATTTCTGCTGATACAGAGAAAAAAATTGTGAAGTAAGTTTCATTCATGCTTACAGCTCACAGGCAGCAGCATTTCCTAATCTGGAAAAACACGTCACGTGGCTGTCTTCATAACTTAACACTACACCTATGTACTAGATATTTATAGCATGAAGATACATGGCTTCTTGAAATAGAGTAAACCTAATGCAATGTTTAAAATCTGCTGATTCTGAGGTCAGATGTGAACTTTTTTCCAGATTTAGTTGATTTTAAATTCCTCCATATGGCTCAGATCAATCAAATGTCTGTTTGAATCCCCAGCAGAGAACACCGCCTGTGAACATGTCGACCCCAATAGCTTTTCAGCTCTCTCACACACACACACACTAAAGAAAGGATGTGGTAACTTGCCATGAGTCTGCACCCATATTTGGTTAAGTGGTTGTAACCGCTTAACCAAATATGGGGGTAAGAAGACTTGACTTGGCTGTGTTGCAATATGCACACAAACACACACTTACCAGCTCATACAATTCAAATGGCCATTACGGTAGGTGGGTAAAATACAGAAAGGAGGGGACTGAGGAGTGGGAGGACTGTAGAAATTCCAGTGAACTGTAATTATTCTGAGGTAGTGGGTCCTGGAAGCAACACTAGGAAAAACTGTTGTTCCAGAAAATTAAGAGGCTACCTCTGTGTGGTTTTCTTCACACATTTCCTAGCACGCTGATATGAATAGCTCCTAGCAAAAATCACCCAAGAAGAAAACTTTTGCGCTGGACGAAGACCGGGTCGCTTCAGATGTGAACTTTCAGACAATAGTCAAGCTTTTTATTTATATGCTGCTTTCTACTTATTTGCATTGCAGAGAAAATACTCCATCTTTTCTTATCTAATCTAACGACTAATGTCAGTTTAGTGTCCTTTTGTGGTTTACCGTGCACGAGAAGAGAGAGGAAACTGCCATTTAAGTACACGGTGTGTCATAGAGAATCAGCCGACTTCAAAGGGCAATATTTGTGTTTAAGTAATGGACATTGAACATTTGACAATACTTGGCAGAATATAAATCACGCTGCACAGCTGTCAGGAGCAGAATGCTTTCTGTTGCACGGTCGCCATATTGACTGAGACTTGATGGGAGGGGGAGGAGAGCCGGCCACTTCTACCTACCGGCAACCTTGCGAATCTCCTCTTACTAGCAGGATGTGTTTGATCGTTACAGATGAATTAAAGCACTTTGAAATCAGTTTCTGATTCTTTGCGATACACCCTGTATTTTATTTATCTCCAAGTAAAGTATTTAAAGTCACTGTGTGTCCTCCCCACAGAAGGATGAGCTGGATGACATCCCGATTGAGCTGAGCAAGGTGCAAAGCGTCAAGGTGACTGTCATCATCCCTCAGAACCCTTCCATCACTTACCCGTATCCTCACCACTGATCACCATCAGCGCTACTTACACTTCTGTCAGTTTGCAGCTATTATATCATCTGACCTAAAGGTCTAAACTCTTCCCAGGATTCAGAGCTAAGCAGATCAGCTTGACAAGGATAAATAAGCTACTATAAATATGATAGAAGAAACCAACATGAAGCCAAAACACATTTTTTTAAAAAGACAGCAGCTCTCCTCCCCACGAGCTAGATGATGAAGTCGTCTTGTCTATTAATCTTCCCCACCCACTTGTTCTGTTTGCAGGTGGTAGCCAAGAAGCGTCGGGACCGGGGTCTGCCGCGCGCCTTCGAGATCTTCACCGACAGTAAAACGTACGTGCTGAAGGCTCAGGATGAGAAACACGCTGAAGAGTGGCTGCAGTGCATCAACGTGGCTGTGGCTCAGGCCAAAGAGAGGGAGAACAGAGAGACCACCACCTACCTGTGAGAGCAGCACCGACCGAGACGGCGGCGGGGACGCGAACGCGCAGCCAAACGTACGCTGACTTCCACATGTAGGATATTTGTTTCTTGTAAGCATTTACAAGACGGGGGGATAAAAAAGACCCCAGCAGGTGACTCTGAGAAGAAAAACTAAGCGCACTGCTAGTAACTTGTCAATAGCACCACCAGCTCTGTCTTCAGTCGTAGTAATGATGGAGCGCAAATAAGAAAAAGGATTTTTAGACATTAAACCAGCAATAAAAGACTAATGAAGGATGGTTACGTATTAAAAACACGACTCCCTGTATTTACCATTACGTTAAACCAACCTGCCCCTGTGCCATGCTTCTCGACGCGTAGGCCGCCATCAGCGATAGCAAATGTTTGTTTTACGTGTTCAGATGTCACCTGACTTTCCCGCTTTGCTCCTACAAGCAAACGAAGCAGGCATCAGTGGGAAGTTGGGATTTCTCCGTTTAATAACGCATTTAGAGTCCAGAGTAGTATTCAACAATAAAGACTTCATCAAAGCAAAGACCTCATAAGGAGTTGTAGCAATAATGAGACTGAACAGTTCCTCTGGAAAGCAGGAAGGATGAAAAACGAGCCTAATGGACAGCAGATGGGGAGCACATTGGATTCTGGAATTGTGTGTGTGTGTGTGTGTGTGTGTGTGTGTGTGTGTGTGTGTGTGTGTGAAAGAGAGAGTGAGTGATCTTAAAGGAATAGTTCAGCACTTTGGGATATATGCAGTCACCTTCCTGCCAAGAACTGGAAGAGATGATTCAGGCTGCTTTCATGTAGCTGTGTGAGTCAAGTAAAATGAAGCTAAAACTTAGTGTAAAGACTGGAATTTGAGTTTGACTAGTCTGGCTATGACTAACTCCTGGTAAGGGGGTGGCAACCAGGGACAGCATATTTCCTCAAATGTCAAACAGGGCCAATAATAGGATATGTTTAACTCATTTTGTGTCATGTATCCTGCTGTATTCTGTTTTTTTCATCACTAACCGGGTTTTTTTCTAGCTTAAACGGGCCTCTAGGGGGACTGGTTGAGTCTTTTGTTTAAGAGTCTTTTGTTCCTTTACTAAACAGAAGTCTGTTAGTTTTGTTAAACAAGAATGTATTTTTTTTTAAAGAAAACCATGCCAGAAACAGTCCTCCTCACAAACCCGACTTAAATCTGTGACGCTGTTTTTCTTTTCTGCCCTTGTACCAAAGTGGCTTATGAGGCAAGTCCCTTAAGACCCCACGCAGGGGTCACTTTCTGTTCTTTTGCAATCACGGTAACCGAACGGAAGGCGCTATCTCAGCCTTTTTCAAACGAGAGAGGTCTGCAGCAATCCACTCCAGTGTTTTACCAGGAGCAGCGTCAGCACAGCTGTTGCCTAATAGTGGAGTTTGGATCACAGGTTTCTAAGAAATCACTGAAGCAAATGAGTGGTTTCCTTGTGGATTTAGAAAGGTTGCCAGTTCAGTCACACTGATTTTTGATGACTCTGCGAGAGAGAGAGAGAGAGAGAGTGGAGGTGAGCTGGCTTACTTTAGAACAGGCCTGTTCCTCGGGTTTGGGTTTAAAAGCTTGTGTGATTTTATTATTTTATTTTTGGGGGAAATGTGTCATTAGATTTTTATTTTTCTTCCTGAAAATTGAGACGGATGGATGAAGAAAGAGTGAAGATGTGAGTGTTTAAATTGGCTCTAACTGATAGTCTGCACCACCTTTCTATAATCCAATTGAACTTTGACAGACAGGTATTCACTCTCTCTACCCACAGGTGAATGCTGCCTTAGCACTTTTTGAAGTTATATGTAACATTAAAGCTGCTAAAGGTGGTCTTAATTTGAACTCGTTTGACAGACGAGCTCTCTCTCGTCGGTCTTTCGGCTAAAACCCTGTCAGCTGTGTAAATGAAGCCATAACACAGCCTTTCCCACCAGGTCAGGTTACCCCTGTTTGTACTTTTAGCTGTCCCTGTTACCCCCACCACCACCACACGCACAGCAGAGCTGACCTGCATCTGCTTACAAATCATATTATTTACATCATGTCTCTCCCTCACATTTTTATTCCTTCCTTCCTTATGACCTACTTAAACACGTGACTTTGGGCCATAAAGCCAGTGGGGTATTCCCCCATGACTGCACTTAAGTTTTTATAAAAATGAATATTTATATTCATTGGGGTATGGCAGCATCTCAAGAAACTGTGGACAGAAAGGAATTGGATATTCTTGGTCCTACTGATTCTGATTGCTGACAATCAGGATGGATACAGCCTACCATCTTGTTTCTGACCACTATCTTCACATTTAATCACTAATAATTATTAAACTCTGGCTTTCACATCGATAGTTTGCCTTTTTGTCCCATCTCCCACCAATCACCCCCAACCAGTAGCTGCAGATGCCTGCTCTTCTTTGAGCCTGGTCCTGTTGGGGTGTTCTTCCTGTTAAAAGGGAGTTTTTCCTTCCCATCGTCACCAAGAGCTTGCTCAACAGGGTTGTCTGATTGTTGGGGTTTTCTCTCTATTATTGTAGGGTTGCTTTATTACCTTACAGTATAAAGTGTCTTGAGGCGGCTGTTGTGATTTGGTGCTATATAAAAGTTTTTCCTGACTACATTTGAGACAAAGTGTTATGCTATTAGATATCATTATTATATTCAGCACCTCTGCTGACCTGCTGTATTGTAAAGGTTTCATAAAGCTCTTGCTCTTTTTAGTTGAACAGTGTTGATTTGTGTTTAAAG